TCTCTCTCTCTCTCTCTCTCTCTCTCTCTCTCTCTCTCTCTCTCTCTCTCTCTCTCTCTCTCTCTCTCTCTCTCTCTCTCTCACGCGCGCGCGCGAGAGAGAGAGAGAGCGCGCGTCCTCGCTTTCACATCGCTTAACAATAGCAAATGGTGGATCGTCCTTCTCCCGTTTGCCCTCCTATTGCTCTTGCCGCTCCTGTCGCTCTTCCTCCTCCTCCTCCCGCTGCTCCTACTGCTCTTCCCCCCTTCCTCCTCCCGCTCCTCCGCACGACGACGACGCTTGCGTCCTGTTCGCGCGATGTCCTTGCGACCTTGCACTACTGTTGCGCTTGCTGCACTTCACTCCCGCCACCCCGCGCATAGGAAACGGCATGCGGCGTAGTCCCACCAGCCCCACTTGCACACAGCCGCAATTTCCTTGCCCCTCACTGCCCACGTCCCGCTGCTGCGCCCCGCGTCAATTTTCCTTTTCTCACGTCCGGCTGCCGCACCGCGCTGGTGACCGCAGCACCGCAATTTCCAGGGCCTTTGGGCTTTTGCCCCCTGGACCTCGCATCCACCATGCGCCCACCCAGGTCGCTTTTCGCCCACCCGCGGGGCTTCGCCTGGTTCGTTTTTCCCTGCCCGCCTCGACCAGGGCCTCGCCCCTGCACCGGTTCCCCTACCCGGTTCCACCCCTCCACGGGTTTCCCTTGGGCCCGCGACCGAGCATGTCGGCGGGACCTTTACAACTTTTAGTAGTATAGAGAAGAGATAGAGATAGTGAAATAGAATTGAAATTACTCAATTCTCATTAATATCCCTCTCCCTCGAACCAACCAATGCACTATTATTTCCAAGAATCCCAACCACGTTATTAACATCCACAAACCCACTAAGAAGAGAGTTTCAACAAGGGAGACTTCTTCTTCCTCCCAACCTGAACCTCGCAGCTATGGCACAGGCCTGCGCCCAAGCTATCAAGCCCATCAAGTGCCACCAACCCACCTGAACCTGACACGCCACTCAGCAGTCCAAACTCGATGCCCACTGCAGATGAAGTATCCACTCAACACGGCAGGGTAGCTCCCAAGACGAAGAAGAAGAGCACCAGCGCTTGGTGAAGATGGATGCCACTTCGACAAACACTTGCAAGAAGGGGAGATACAAGTTTCCTATATGAAAAGGAATCAACGGAATAATAGCAAATTGTTCTAGTGGACTAAAAGCCATTATGAATTCTCTTTTTTTTTTTACGGAGCTTTTGATGATCGATCTCTCAAAGCCAAAGCAATCTAATATACTCGGAAAAAAGCAAAGGCCGTAGGCTCGCTAGCTAGAGAAAGATTAATCACTACAATGATACTTTTTTCTATTTTTTCAAGCATCGCTTTATTTTCTGGCGTTATGGTTATACGTGCTAGAAACCCAGTTCATTCCGTTTTATTTCTCATTTTAGTATTTTGGCGACCCTGCCTATCCCCAACAACACAGGTAAGAGGAGGCGCCTCGCAGCGATCAGGGCCTGATGCCCAGCGCAGTCAAAACATGAGCCAGGAAG